CAATAAAGAGATGGCTTGATAAGTTCAACTCCATTGAACATCTTTGGTGTGAATTGGAATGTGGATTTTGTGCACAACGCCAATTCTGCTGAGACTTAGTTTGAGCAGTTTGTTGTCGGGGAAGAACTCAGGTGGCCTGCACAGAGCCCTCAACTCATGGGTACAACTTGAGCTTTGCAATGAACTGAAATGCCAATTTTGTGCACAAAGCCAGCTAAACTGAGACTTGGTTTGACTATGGAGTTTGTTATGGAGAAACTTGCACACAACCCTTAACTCAACCCTACTGCAGAACTGTGAAATGCGTTGGCATGCTGATTGCAAGCCATGTCTTCTCTTCCAACATCAGTACCTGATCTCATGAATGCTATTTTGTCTCAATGGGCAGAAATTCCCACAGACACTCTCCAAAATCTCGTGGAAAGCCTTCAAGAAGAGTGGAGGCTGCAAGAGCCGCAATGAGAGGGAGGGGGGCAACTCTATATTAAGGCCCATGGTTTGGGGATGGATGGGATGTCCCACCAGCTCATATAGATGCAATGTTCAGGGGTTCAGACTTGTGGACTAGGCCACATGCTCCCTCTGACCTATGAACGGAGCACTAGAAGGTAACTGTCAGCAAGGAGGGGGCTGTCACTTTGTTAAAAGGCTCCTTTTAAATAACAAAACCTTTATGTCTGTTCGGGGAACGTCTTTAAAGGCCGATTGCCCTTGACAAGCCGAAGTGATCGTTGGATCCTGTGAAATCTACAAAAGCAGCTTAATAGGAGGACAAAGTGTACATCTACATGTTCAGCTGAGACGTTTCTCTCCTGTAATAACAGTCTGGAGCCATTTGACCCTCTTAGCAGAGGCCATTAAAACATCCACTTGAGCAGATGATATGAGGCAGAGAAATGATTCTCTTCAGCGTGATAATAAATGATCAGAACCTTCCGGGTTAAAGGGAAAAAATCATTCATTCCTTGCCAGTTTCTTACTAATCTCTAACATTGCCATTAGCAAGCTGAGCCTTCCACGGCCTGCTGGTTAGCAAAGGATGCTGGGAATCGTAGTTCCTCAGTGGCTTCTTGGCTAAAGGGGAGCTCTTCTAAGTTCTTTTTTACATCTCTAATTACATTTCTCTATTTCAGCAGCGCAGACAGCAGCCGCAGCAAATCTCCTATGATTGACACATAAGGGCTGTCCAGAAGACTGGGTCAGCTCTGATGTCTTTTCGTAACGTCCGGGTGCATGGGACATCTAGATGTTCACAGTACTCTGCAGTGCATGGCAATGGCGATATTCAGGAAGGTGGTAACCATGGGATTTGCAACTTGCTGAGCACTCTATTTATAACTAAGATTAGTTGGCAACTATTCTCATTATCGATTAGTTGGTTTGAATCCCCTAGCTCTCTCCTCCACGCTGAGAGGAGGGCATAGCAAGCAGTGGGCAGGTGCATTAGCCAGCCTGCTAATGGCTATTGCAATTTGAAATGGCTATTCAACTGCCCAATACCTGCTGTATTTACATTCAGCTGCTGTCTGCGGAATCTTGCCACTGGCAGCTGTCATTCCCTGGCTGAAGCTATTCAAGCGCCATGTGTTTACAACACAGTTATTTTTAAAAAAAGATAAAAGGTCGGAAAAAAGTCATTTTAGGCCTGACAAATTCTGCTGCAGGAGGTGCGTTGCAGTGCCATTCATTTCATTGGCACCCCCCGAACGCGCCTCCCATCCACAGTGTGATCGCCCGCACTGGAAAGCAAGATACCGCGATGCTGTGCGCTCCAGTGCAGTGCGATTGCAAAAAATAGTGCGTACAGTTTTATTCTGAAGTAAACTTTGTAACACGGCATCTGTGCATTTTATTTTAAAAGTAGGATGGTATTTATTTTTTTATCCGATTAATCGAAAAAATAATCGGCCAACTAGCCCTACTTATAACACCTAGGCTAGAAAATATAGAAATTCACTCATTAAAAAGATGATTTATATATTTTATCATAGATACATTTTAATTATTTTGCTGTGGACTCCGAAGCTGGCAGAATACCTGATCCTTTTTCAGATCATCAGCTCATTGGAGCATGAAATGTGTATTCAATCACCTGCACCCCATACAGCATTGTGACCTTCAAAAGGTGGTGCTTGAAGTGATGACACGGATGGTGCCATTTGGAACTTGAACCTCATAATCTGAAGTTCAAGCTCATTGGAGCAAGGTCCTCATCTCCTCTTGTGTAATGTTCTTGCACTTGCTTTGCCTGGCTTTTGTAGCGTATCCAGTTTTATTTAAAGGGAATGGGTTATTTTACTCAACATTCTCTTGATAGCCCCCTCGTTCATCGGACATTTTCCCTAGCGACACTTAACATTACCTTCCCCCTCCTCTCCATTTGTCTACAGGAGCCCCTTAGGCTTTTGGATATAGGGTAGGAGGTGACCCATTTTGGGAAATACCATGCATTTCTGGATATGGGGTAGGAGATGACCCATTTTGGGAAATACTATGCACTTCTGGGTATGGAGTAGAAGGTGACCTCCTCTGCTTCCTCCAGGGATGCAGTGCTTATTCCATGAGTGGCCAATCACAAAGCCCCCGCAGCGCCATGTATCACAGAGATTGGAGACGCTTTCAATACCTATGTACCATGGAGCTTTGGCCATGGACCAATGACTCTAGAGCAGTGGTTCTCAACCTGTGTAACCTCGGGACCCACATGTTTCACAATGGTGACGAAATGCAGGAAATGTAATTATTATTCATGGGGGGGGGGTAAGCTTTCAAGAGTACTGTTACTTGGCCATACATGGTTCAGGTTAGCCACCCCCCTCTGCCGGTACGCTGTTTATTTGCTGGAGCTTTTTAAACTGCTTAGTACCATCATATATGGGGTAAGATGTGACTCTCTTCCACAGTTTAATGTTGGGTGCCTGAATGGCCAATCGACAAGCTGTAGTGTTGTCATGTGGAGTTGAGTGGAGCATCCTTATTCTTCCAAGAAGGATTACTGAGGAGCTGCAATGGAACATCAAATGGAAGGAACAGCACAGGTTGACTTCAAGAGCATTGGGAGTCAGCTGTATCCTGCCAAACCTCCACCATTGATGGCTATGACACACTATGGAGGAGACATGGTCCCATCCAGCCACTAAGCGTTTACTTTGTATTTTCCCACATATGTGTATGACCCCCATATCGGAAAGGGTTGTTGTTCTCCTGAAATCGCTCTGGAAATACGTTATGTGGTCAGATTCGGTGCAGACTGTGCTTAGGGGAGCTTTACGAGCGCTTTGGAAGCACAAAATGTTCCCTTAACATTATATCATTATCCTCGTGCAACGTTTACTTACCAGATGATATAATGTTGCTGGAGGCGCCTAATTAACGTATATCAAATTGTTACCAAACAATAGCCCACAGCAGTCTCATTAACACGGATAAATATTACATAACAATACCAGTTAATGAACTAATTCATGAGGAATTTTTCTTTCATTAACTTAAACTGCAATTTCATTTTTGTGCTGACTCTTCGTTTTCCTTTTTTCCCCCATTTGCTAATGGCATTTTATAACTGTAATATATACAAGGCACCAATAGACATTATCCGTTCCTCTCGTCGCCTAACCAGTCATGGCCACGATAAGCTGAAATTGTTATGTTTCAGGCCAGCGGCTGATTGTTTTAGGGGGTCAATTGGTGTCAGAATTCTCAGTGATGTCACCGGTCTCCAGTGAATGGATAGGCTGCATTCTCAGTGATGTCACCGGCCTCTAGTGAATGGATAGGCTACATTCTCAGTGATGTCACCGGTCTCTAGTGAATGGATAGGCTGCATTCTCAGTGATGTCACCGGTCTCTAGTGAATGGATAGGCTGCATTCTCAGTGATGTCACCAGTGTCTAGTGAATGGATAGGCTGCATTCTCAGTGATGTCACCAGTGTCTAGTGAATGGGTAGGCTGCATTCTCAGTGATGTCACCGGTCTCTAGTGAATGGGTAGGCTGCATTCTCAGTGATGTCACCGGTCTCTAGTGAATGGATAGGCTGCATTCTCAGTGATGTCACCGGTCTCTAGTGAATGGATAGGCTGCATTCTCAGTGATGTCACCAGTGTCTAGTGAATGGATAGGCTGCATTCTCAGTGATGTCACAGGTCTCTAGTAGTGAATGGATCGGCTGCATTCTCAGAGATGTCACCAGTCTCTATTGAATGGATCGGCTGCATTCGCAGTGATGTCACCGTTCTCTAGTGAATGGATAGGCTGCATTCTCAGTGATGTCACCACTCTCTAGTGAATGGATAGCTTGCATTCTCAGTGATGTCACCGGTCTCCAGTGAATGGATAGGCTGCATTCTCAGTGATGTCGCCAGTGTCTAGTGAATGGATAGCTTGCATTCTCAGTGATGTCACCGGTCTCTAGTGAGTGGTTAGGCTGCATTCTCAGTGATGTCACCGTTCTCCAGTAAATAGAAAGGTTGCATTCTCATTGATGTCACTGATTGTTCTAGAGCAGGGGTGTCAAACTCAATTTAATCGTGGACCGCATCAACATTATGGTTGCCCTCAAAGGTATCTGTAAGACTATATAAATGTATCTAATCTTTATCATAATTGGTACTGCATTCGATTATCACTGGTTTTAGTAATAACTTAATACCTAGATCTGAAAGTAGAAGCCTAGGAAATGGTCTGGTGGGCCAGATTTGGCCCTTGGGCCTTGAGTTTGACACATGTGTTCTAGAGGTTCAACAGGATCCAACCTCCATCTTCCATCTATGGCAAAGTTTTAAAAACCTAGCTCTAGCCAATACTTTTTTTTTTATTTTGGTATAAAAATGGCTGCCATGGGCAACATCTTACTCTCAGAAATTCTGAGCAGATGTAATTTCTCGATGCTTTTCATCAGCTCCAGAATATGATACAGAGAGTTCTGGGAATCTCGGAATCTGTTGAGTCGCAGAATGATTTTCTGTCTTTGTCTCATTTCTTTTTGTAACTCTTTTATAGGTTTGCCACCAAAGAGAAGAATGGCCTTCTGCTTTACAATGGACGACTGAATGAAAAGCATGACTTCATTGCGGTGGAGATCCACGATGGACAGGTGCAGCTAAAATATTCCACAGGTTTGTGCCTTGGTTCGTATTAGCGGGATGGGAGGACCTGTATGCATGTTCGGGTTCTTAGAATTGTTCACTGTGCCTTATAATGTGATAACACTTTATATTCTTAGTTCTCTATGTAACTGATGGACTGCATACTCAGTGATGTCACCGGTCTCTAGTAAATGGATAGGTGCATGCTCAGTGATGTCACTGGTCTCTAGTGAATGGATAGGCTACATTTTCAGTTATATCACCGGTCTCCAGTGAATGGATAGGCTGCATTCTCAGTGATGTCACCGCTCTCTAGTGAACGGATAGGCTGCATTCTCAGTGATGTCACTGGTCTCCAGTGAATGGATAGGCTGTATTCTCAGTGATATCACCGGTCTCTAGTGAACGGATAGGCTGCAATCTTTGTGATGTCCCCGGTCTCTAGTGAATGGATAGGCTGCATTCTCAGTGATATCACCGGTCTCTAGTGAATGGATCTGCTGCATTCTCAGTGATGTCACCGGTCTCTAATGAATGGATAGGCCGTTTTCTCAGTGATGTCACAGGTCTCTAGTAGTGAATGGATAGGCTGCATTCTCAGTGATGTCACCGGTCTCTAGTGAATTGATCGGCTGCATTCTCAGTGATGTCACCGCTCTCTAGTGAACGGATCGGCTGCAATCTTTGTGATGTCCCCGGTCTCTAGTGAATAGATAGGCTGCATTGTCATTGAGGTCAGCAGTCTCTATTTAAGGGAAAGCCTTTTTCTAAATGACACAGTGTTACAGTTTTTTCTTAAACGCCCTTGTTCAGTCCACACGGCTGCATTAATATTTCAGGTTACAAACTTGACTTTAAGAAAAAAAAATCGAACTTCCTTTATAAAGCCCTCAGTGTCCCATCTGCCACATCCATCTACTATGAGGCCTTGACTCGGGAACCTTTCGTAAACATGTCAATAAATGGCACATTATCCCCTGCTCCACAGGTCCTCTTTGCATGCTTTGTACATTAGGCTCCCCATGCTAGAGATTGATGTCTCTTTTAGAGACGGAAACTGAGGCTGTAAATCTTGTAGCATCTGTTCACGGTGTGACAGAACAAGCCACCGCTGGATTCAGCTTCCCCCCCGACCACTAAATGGCGATTGTATCAGCCACAGGACTGCGTGGTTGTGTACTGGCATTGCTGAGTGCATCGTTAATGGAAATTACCAGAGACTACGAGATAGAAATGTTCCTCTTCTATTAATTGCAACTCATTCCTGCCTTGATTGATGCTGTGAGAATGGGATTAGCCACCTCAGCTAACACATACATCTGTTGTATTATGTATGCAGGTGATAGGGCAATGAAGCTGACACCTCGTATTAATTTTGTGAGCGACACGGTCAGCATTAAGCAGGTTCACCGCCCGTCTTGACGGAGTGCGTCCTAGGTGTTTTATTCGTGGCCGAGCATTTAAGAGGTTTTGATTTGTGTTTTCAAGGTGAGTCCAGCACTCTGGTGACCCCTTCTGTCCCCGGGGGAGTCAGCGACGGCAAGTGGCACACTGTCCAGCTTCGCTACTACAACAAGGTAGGACATAACTTCACTGCACGGTGGTTTTGCATGTGTAACTTCTCGTAATTTATTATGGTCAGGACTAAAAAATGCCAGTTTTTCCTTTTTTAAATATATAATACCTGCTCCAGGTCAGCCCAGTGGAACTCAGATGTAGACTTCCACAACATCCAAAGAAAAAGGGAAGATTACATAATGTCAAATCAAAACCTCCTCCCTTAAAGTGACATTAAAGTAAAAATTTTTTCCCGCCTTCCCAATCCTGCTGTAAGGACTTACCTTAAATGATGTCTCTTTATTCGATCTTCCTCTTTCCTGTCCTTTTCAGCTGTCCCTCCAGCGCTTGGTGCGGGTCTCCGATCCAGCGCTGACTCCTCTGTCCTCTTCTCTCATGTCCCACGGTGTCTGTGCGGGTGCACGCTGCTCCATAGACTTACCTTGTGTCTCTCCTCGTCTCCCGGCCGAACATCTGAAGTGCGCATGCGCCCGCCCCAAGATCCTTTGCGGCCGCTTGAGACTCTTCAGATGTTCGGATGGGAGCGCGCGGCGGAGACACAGGTAAGTATTAACCCTTTGAAAAAGTTTTCTTTTTTTCTATCGTTTTGCATATATCTACTGCTTGCTAACCGTACATATATATGCAAAAACATGCAAGGGTTTAATAACGCTTTAATTCCAAATGAACACAGGACACAGGATAAAGCTCTGACATGTCTCCCACTGTACTCAGCGCTTTGTCAAAGAGCAATGTACATCAGGAAATGTGTTAGAGCCTGATCTTGTATGCAGAGGAAGTTTTTAATAAATATGAAATATTGCATATTCATATTATTGTTATACAGGATTTATATAGCGCCAACTGTTTGCGCAGCGCTTTGCAATGTAAGGAAGGCATTACAATCACAATACAATTCAAGACAAGATGGTAAGGAGGGCCCTGCCTGTGCCTGCCCTTTTCCTATGTGGCCAGTGGATGGAGCTTTCATCTCATTTTCACATATTTTGCAAGCCCTTCTTAGCTCCTTTCTTGTAAAAAACCTCAAGTGATAACACAGCTCAGTAGCTCAAGATGAAATATATAACTGAATGAGTCAATGGAGTGAATGACTGTTTGATATAATTAAATAAATAAAATACAATTTTTAAGTTTAAAAAAAGTGAAAAGTGTGAAAAAAAATAAAAATTGTGAAAAGTGTAAAAAAAAAAAATGTGTAAAGAAAAAATAAAATAAGGGACAAATAAATGAATGTATTTATTGCATTTTTTTAGCTGTGCTGGTGTTGTAAAAAAATACTACAAATCAAAACTGGGAAAAAAGTGTTTTTTGAACGTTTTTTTTCTCTTTTTTTATATTTTATTTGTCCTAAGTGAGGCGCTAGACACACATATGTGATATAAATATGTAGCCCTATCTGTCCTCTAAAAAACAATATATAATATGTGTGGGTGCACTTTGTAAGAAAGTATATTACTGACGTGGAAGAATCACACAGCAAAAATGTCAAAAGTGTGTCAGTCATTTACGAACAGAAACTAAAAACAAGCTCAGTCATGAAGGGGATATATATGGATATATATGTATTTCTATTATAGTTTCTTCATAAACATAATTCCCTTTTTCGGGGGTGGCTCACATGGCAGCCGATAGCAGTGAGTACATAGCAGCCGATAGCAGTGAGTACATAGCAGCCGATAGCAGTGAGCACATAGCAGCCTTCTGCTATCAATCTGCAGCACCAGAAGATATAGTGAAGCCAGGATTGCCGGTCATCAGCTGAATATTTGCCTCTGGAGGTTTTTTTGTATAACAGTTTTCCCTTTTAGGATATTTTGTCTAATTTTCTGTTCCAATTACAACTGCCAGTTTTTGGATTTCCTCTCCTTTACTGTTCTGGTGCTAACAATAAAAACCCATCAGTGACTGTCACCCTTCGCTCTGGCTGGAGTCCTATGTTCAATGCACATTTCTGACTAATATTTTCTTTTCCTTTTTAGCCAAAGACCGGATCCGCAGGGGCGGCACAGGGGCCGTCGAAGGAGAAGGTGGCTGTGTTGGCAGTGGATGATTGTGACGTTTCCGTGGCTTTGAGGTTCAGCAATGACATTGGAAATTATACATGTGCTGCTGAAGGGGTGCAGTCCAGTTCCAAAAAGTGAGTAGCCCTTTCAACAGTTTCTCTTTCGGCAGAACATGATTTAGGAAAGTTGAACAGTTAGGTGATTACAGCATTGCAGTCTTATACTTGGGTTAGAGTGAGGGGGAGTTAGGTGGAACAGATACAGCTGTTATCCCGAGGAGCACATTGGAAGGGAGATGGATGAGAAAACTAAAGGGAGAGCGAGGATGAGAGATGAAATAGAGAGTGATGGATGGAGCTAGTGGGGTAAGAGAAAGGTAGAGAGAGAGAGAGAGGAGGAGAGAGTCAGAAGGAAGGAGAAAGAGTGATGGATGGAGAGAGTGTGATGGACAGTGATAGAGAGAGAATGATGGATGGAGATAGAGGGAGGGAGAGGAATGGAGAGTGGTGTGTGGAGATATGGAGAGAGAGTTATGGACAGAGATGGAGGGAGAGTGAGAGAGGGTGATGGGCAGAGAGAGGGAGAAGGAGTGAGAGTGATGGATTGAGATAGAGGGAGAGAAAGTAATAGACAGAAATAGAAGGAGAGGGAAGGTGAGAGAGTTTGATGGATGGAAACAGAGAGAGGGAGAGCAAGTGATGGACGGAGGGAGAGAGAGTGATGGACCGAAATAGAGGTTGAGAGAAGGTGAGAGAATGATGGACGCAGGTAGAGGGAGTGAGAGTTACGGAGAGAAGAAGAGGGAGAGTGATCAACAGAGATAGGAGAGTTAGAGAGTTTGATGGACGGATATAGAAAGAGGGAGAGAGAGTGATGGACTGAGTTTGGACTGAGTTAGAAGGGGGGAGAGAGTGATGGATGGAGGATGGAGAAAGAGAGTTCTGGACCAAATTAGCGGTTGAGAGAAGGTGAGAGAATGATGGACAGAATTAGAGGGAATGAGACTGATGGAAAGAAGTAGAGGGAGAGTGATCAACAGAGATAGAGGAAGGGAGAGTGAGAGAGATTGATGGACAGAGATAGAAAGAGGGAGAGAGAGTGAGTGAGGGACAGAGGATGTGGAGAGAGAGATGGACCAAATTAGCGGTTGAGAGAATGATGGACAGATGTAGATGGAGTGAGACTGATGGAAGGAAGTAGAGGGAAAGTGATGGACATAGATAGAGGGAGTGAGAGAGTTTGATGGATGGAGAACCAAGGAGGGAGAGAGAGTGATGGATGGAGATAGAGGGAGATTGAGTGATGGACTTAAGTAGAGGTTGAAAGAAAGTGAGAGAATGACGGACTGAAGTAGACAGAGAGGAAAGGAGGAAGACAGAAAGAAGGAGGAGAAGAAGGAAAGGTGTAAGGAACAGATAGAAAGAGAGGAAAAGACAAAGACAGGAAGAAAAAAGAAGAAAGGGATCAAGAGGGAAGGAGAGAGAGTGCACATGGATTTGGGGGAAGGAGAGAAGGTGATTGACAAATAGAGAGGGAGAGGAAGATCGGGAAAGGGTAGCAGAAGGAGAAAGAGATTAAAAGATGGGGGAGACAGGGGGAAAAGATACAGACTGAGGAAATGATAGAGAGGGGAAAGTATATAAATAGAGAGAGGAAGAAAAACTAAGGGAGCAAGAGAGAAAATTGAGACTTGTTACCTATGTTTTATATATCATGGAAAACTTACATAACTACAGTTTAAAAATCCCTGGAAATGCCATCTTAATATGATATAAAAGTAGGTTCAAATCCGGTGGGGGGGGGGATTCATTGTCTATCATCTGTTACAAAATGACAAATTTGCTTTAATTCTCTTATAACAGTTTTTCACAGGCGAATCAAGTTGTGTAATGTATTTATTTCCTTTGCAGATCCCTGGACCTGACCGGCCCTCTGCTGCTGGGCGGAGTCCCCAATCTTCCCGAGAACTTCCCGGTCACACACCGGGAGTTCATCGGTTGCATGAAAGATCTGTATATTGATAGCAGGAAGATTGATCTGGCATCTTACATCGCAAACAATGGAACACATGCAGGTGGGTACGAGCACTGTAATTTGCACTTTATGAATGGACACTGAAGGCGTATACAAAACTTTCATTGTACCCCATTCAGCTTTCACATATTTTGGGCCAGGGGTCAATTCCTGTCTATGTCCCTGTTGCATATTTTCCCTCACTTCCTGTCTGATTAACTGTTGTCTCCAGGACAGGAAGTGAGGGTGAATTTTTCTAGCATAGTGCTCCAGATAGCAGATCGCACTATCTAGCTAAACTCCTGGGCACATGTAACGAGTACCATACAAATTATGCCGTTCTTTTTTTGTCCCCTCTCTATCAGGATGTAATGCAAAGCAATCGTATTGTGACTCCAATCCATGTAAGAACGGGGGGACCTGTTCACCAATCTGGGGGACATTTACCTGCGATTGTCCCTTGGGGTTCGGAGGCAAGGAATGCAGGATTGGTAAGTACCGAGGAGTGTGAGTTCACATTACCTAAGCTGTCTGAGCGAGTCAAACAGGTTCAGTTAAAGAGGACCTGTCATATGCTTGATAAAAGCAAGAGTGCCTAACTGTGCTTCCTGTACTAGTGCACACGAGAAGGTTGAGATCTGTGGTGCACTTGTATGCAGATAGCATGGGGGCTGACTACATGTTGCTACTTCCAGATTAATGATGTCTCGTGCTTTGGAGCTGGACTCGTTCACATACGTTGCCCCAAAGCCAACACAGGGCCAATGTTTGCTGTCATCTGTCACGCTTACATGCGGTGCTTTTTTTTTTTTTTTAACATTTAACCCCTTCATGAAGTGCTGGAAGCCTAGATGTAAGGCCAGTTTTTAGCAGCTTCACTATGCATTGGTTCACTTGACCATAACTACGATAAATGAATTGTAGTTTTTGGCCACGTTTTTTAACGTTTTCAGGTTTTATCTCTAAGACCCCCATTCACACTGAGCTCAAAAATCACTCAAATATGAAGCTCAATGTAGCTCTTCCAATGCATTTCAATGGCCATGTTCACATCTTGCAGCTCAATTTCGCCTGTAGCTTGTAGCTGAAGCTTGTCGCTCGAACATGACCTATTTTTCGGCAGATTTCGAGCGATTTGGCCCCCATAGACCGTAGCTCAATGTCGCTCAAAGTCGATCAGCTCAAATCAGCGCTGAAAAAGCTTGTAGCTCACTGTGAATGGTGTCTAAGACACTGTAATCCCTTTTCACTTTGTAATTCTTGCTTTGTACTCAGCAGCTTCACAGAGAGAGAGAGAGAGATAAGGTGGCACAGTGCCCTCTGCAGATCTTTATGTGATCAATGTGATTGGCTTTCAAGTTGATCACGTTATTGAGAATGACACTGATTGGTTCCTGAATGTTAGTCTACCCCCTGCGGCTCTCATCAGCAGTGTGGTTATAATACTAGGGGCATGCACAGGTATGCATTCCTAGCTCTCAGCTGCAATGTCAATTACCATTCCCACAGAACAGAATATTGTGCCTGAGAATTTTAATATTCAGATCACTGTTGTGTGGTGCTTAAACCCCTCTCCTGGGCATTGTGGGTGCAGTGGAAGCACAGTGCACCTTTACTAAATACACAATATTCTAGAGTAGGTATCCAGCGATCATGTAAATTACAGCTAATGCCGCATGTTTATGATTTATATCTTGTTGGTAAAAGTACATGCCGGCTAAATTACACTGACTTCTGGGTAGTGCGTTCATTTTTCACCCTTGTGACAAAAAAAAAAAGATGTGACCTTATCACAGTAATGATAAATGAACCCAACTAAATAGTGAGTGTGTCAGTTATTATCAGTGAACTATTATTCGTTAATGAATAATTCAATCGTGATTTTCTTCAGTATGTGATAGCTGAGCATGACCTGTATTGGCTTGTGCAGAACGAGTATGAAAGGAAACTGCTGCCCCCTAGAGGACGGAAAGTGGAAGTGCACATCAACATCACACTGGCTGAAGCCTTTTGGGAGCTTCGTTAAAGAGAACCCGTGAGGCTGGAAATATGGGAACTACCCCCCTCCCCCCCCCCCCCCCCCAAATCTGTCCTGATATTATCTTCCTGCAAAGCTCTGCATAGCCGAACCCTGACTAGGAAAGGGTGGACAGTGCACTGTTGATTTGCACAGTGCTGTCAGTCAGATGCATAACTAGAAACCTCAGGGCCCCGATGCAAGAAACCATTAAAGGAGAACTATGAGGTGAGTGCTTTTCACTCACCTCATAGTTCTAGCCGACCTGTGACAATGAGACTGTCACAGGTCGCTCAGTAGATCGGGAGGTGAGCGAACACATACCGGCGTTCGCTCACCTCTCGATCCTGTCACGGCTCTCTGCCGTGACAGGGGAGGGGCTGGATTCCCCCCTCCCCGCTCCGATCTGCCAGCGCTGACTGGCGGAGCGGACGGGGGAGGGGGCGGGTACAGCTGGCTCTGCCTCTAGATAGGCAGAGCTAGCTGTCACTCACGCAGCTGGGCGGATCCAGACATAATCGTCGGGATCTGCTTCAGCTGCGGCGTCTCAGTATACCGCGAGCTTAGGGTGACTGGAGGATGCTAGTTTGTGTCCTCCCGTTACCCTAAGGAGAACTATGGGGAAAAGCCCTGACCCCATAGTTCTCCTTTAAGTGACTCCCTCCCCAAAAAAAACATGATTTTGATACTTTTTTTTTTTCAATATTATGTATGTTATGACTTTCAGTTCACATCAGCTCCAGTACGTTCTGTCCCGATTTGGTGCCAGAACGCACTGGATTGCAACCCAGCCGGCTCACTGCGTTCTGGGGTGGGAGGGAGCATGGCGGTGGATTAAAGCCAATGGCACCGCAGGCATGCGCCCCCCCCTGAACCACGGTCCGCAGCATGAGGCAAGTACGACTGCTGCGATTCTGGTTATTCCGCCAGTGCCGGTACCTGCGTTTAGTATCGGGGCCTTTTCACGAGTACAAATACTCACGAAAATGCCCAGTATTGGCACTGGTGCATCTCCCTACTTAGTATAATGTATTGCTGGACTTGTAGCCTGCAGTGTCGGTAGCGGCTCCGCCAGGCTGAAGCTGACCGACCCAGCCTCTTCCTCTCTGCCACCC